ATATAAAAAATATAATACTACAACGAACTAACACCCACGAACAACACAAACTGTTCCACCTTTTCTACTCATGATATTATACAGAAATAAAAAAGTATTTATGCACGAATACAAGAAATACAATAACTGATGACACACGCATCAAACATAAAATATTTTTAGGTTGACGGGAATACCAACAAAATAATGGCGATTTTCGCACATGCGTACTCGAAAAAAAAATTGGCGGGAAGCGGAACTGTCGCTTCTGGTGTTATAATTCTGTGACTAACCTCAAAATTTGGTTATTTGCTTACTTCACTCGTATTTATTATGCTACATTCACTTGGGTCATATGGAACACTAGCGCCACCCCAACTTCTGCCATTTCTTGGACAAATTTTGTCAATTTTCCCGTATGAGTTCGTGCTCCTTATCTAGTCTCCATGTATAGTCTCCATGACTAAAGTTCTGATGCAAAAGTGCATGGAGACTCTAGTCTCCATGCAAAAGTGGTTAAAAAAGAATAAAAGCTGTCATCTGTCAGTACTTGCAGCAGTCACTTTTTTTGTACAACAACATATAATATAGATTTATGTATTTTCTAATTTGAGAAAATAGAAAATGGCAGATAAAAAAGTACCAGTTAAGCTGGAGGGTACTGATTTTACACAGATATTTATTGCAGTATTTGTGATAGTCATATCTTTGGGTAAGTGCAGCATTTTAATAATATTGACCATATGTTACAAAAGAATGTATTTTCAGTATTATTTGCACTTTACAAACGTAGGAAGAGCTCAAAAAGAGGTATTTTATTAACTGGACTGTGTGATAGTGGAAAAACATTAATTTATTCACAGTTGGTTCATAATAAAAATGTTCAGACACATACATCAATTAAAGAAAACATTGGTAGTTATATAGTTAATAATGTAAGAATTCTTATGGTTTTCTTGTACATGTGCCTGTTTGTTAATTATTATAAATTTTAGGATGTGTTGAAAATTGTCGATATTCCAGGTCATGAACGTTTAAGGGACAAATTCTTTGAACAGTACAAAAGTACTGCGAAAGGAATTGTATTTGTGATTGATTCTGTAACTTTGCAACAAGACATTCGAGATGTTGCTGAATTCTTATATAACATTTTAGTAGATTCTCTAATTGCATCCAGTAGCACTGATGTACTTATTTTATGCAATAAACAGGACCAAACCTTTGCTAAAGGTACAACTGCTGTAAAATCGATTTTGGAGAAGGAATTGTAAGGGAAAAGAGTAATTTAAAATGATTGTGTATAAATTTAAATATATTTTTCAGAAATACACTTCGTGTTACCAAATCTAAACAGTTGGATTCTGTGGACCCCAAAGCAAAACGAGCTTCTATCTTAGGCAATCCTGATGAGGATTTTGATTTTGATGCTCTTAAAGTTAAAGTTGATATATCTGAATCTTATGCCTATCACAAGAATGGGTCTGTAGATATAGAGGGGTTGAAGAAATGGTTAGCTAGATTTTGATTGTGTGGTAATTTATTGTACTTCAGAAAGATATGTATTTAATTTGTGTTGTTTTGAAGATGATTGTAATTTATTATTTTTTTGTAATCATTTTTTTTAAGAGTATTACAATTTTGTTATTATTACGTTATTGAAATAAATATTCTTATTTTTTCTCGATATGATAAGGTTATAACAAATTATTCAGAAATAGTATAAAAATTAATGTATTATTATCACTAATATTAACATAATATTTATGTAAAATTATTCTGTTAAAAATTTTAGGAAATACGAATAATTTTTTTACATTTTGTTCATTACTTTTCACGTTTTATGGTATTAGTATACAGGGTGTCACACTGGGAACAGTAGGACTCTCCAGCACTTCCGCTTATACCGGAAGTCGACACGAACTTCGTTATTTTAAATTAAAAACTTGAAATGAAATTTTGTGGAAGTTGTTAATCACAACCTTCATTGCATTCTTTTTTCAATCCAATTGAGGCCATGTTTTCAAAATATTAGTAAAGTAAATAAATGTTCAGAAATTGCAATTGTTAACCAATATATATTTACATTAGTAGATTAGTGTATAATATTACACAGGATGTTCCAAGAAACGGTAAAATGGTAAAGCGCTCGTACGTCGAAACTATTCATTTCACAGAAAAAAGGTTAATACATAAATTATAGGAAATGTTCTCTAGTTTAATTTATTATATAACTATTTTGACCGTAAAGTGAGTCGGAAAGGAAATATCGTCGAAAAACTGTTTTGGAGCGGCATTTTTCCAATATGGCGGCTACTTCCGAAAAAAAAAGAGGTGGCAAAGTAAAAATTCGGAAAAAGGATTCGATGTCTTTCAGCAGCACTTTTCTTTGATAAAAATAAAACTTCCTGCAAATAGTGTTTTGTTGGATTGTAATTCGACATTTTCAGTGTGGAGAAATTACACTTCAGCAAAATAATACGATAGAAAGAAAGCTTTAATGACAGAGCTTTGACATTTATATACATGTACGATGCGATATAGCACAAGTTATGATGTCTATTGTAAATCCCTCAAACTTCATCCACAATACTAGAATTGTGAATTAATTTTGTTTAATGTCGATTTTTAGATATTTATGAATAACTTTTAAACGAAGTAATAATAAGATGATAAATTGACTTGAAGTGCCTTTGGAAATTTCTGGTGAACATGCTAGATCGATAAAAACATGTGAGTATTGTTTCAATGTTTTAAAAGTGGTGATTTCAATGCAGTTGGCAAAGAATGTCCTGCTCAACAGAAAAAGTTTGAAGATGAATTGGAAGCATTACTTGACCCAGATTCATGTCAAACGCAAGGTGAACTAGCTGAATCGTTGAATGTTTATCACACAATAGTTTCCAAATGTTTAAATGCACTCGGTATGTTTCAAAAGCAAGGAAATTGGATGCCATACGAATTGAATCCGAGAGATGTTGAATGGCGATTTTTCACGTGAACAAATGCTTCAATGGAAAAAAAGGTTTTTTTTTATCGTATCGTCACTGTCGATGAAAAATGTATATGCTCTGATAATTCTAAATGTAAAAAATCGTGGGGTTTGCCTGGTCATGCTTCAAGATCAATGGTAAGGATGAATATTCATGCTACAAAGCTCATGCTCTGCATTTGTTGGGACCAGCTTGGTGTTGTGTACTATGGGCTGCTTCAACCGTATAAAACCATCACTGGTGAGCGCTACTAAACACAACTGATGCGTTTGAGTTATACATTAAAGAAAAACGGCCGCAATTTGAGCAAAGGCATGATAAAGTAATTTCTCAACATGACAACGCTCGACAACATATTGCTCATAGTCAAAAAATTCTTAGAAATGTTGAAATGGGATATTTTATCCCATCCAGATATTGCTCCATCAGATTACTACTTGTTCCGATCCATGGAACATGACTTGACTAACCAGCACTTCCAATCTTACGAAGATACCAAAAATTGGATCCATTAGTGGATAATATCAAAAGATTAGTTGTTCTTTCGAAACGAAATCCGTATGCTTGCTGTCAGAAAGATGGGAAAAAGTAGTGCCTAGCGATGTACTATACTTTGAAAAATAATGTACAAAATTTTTAATAAAACCTAGAATTTGCAAAAATTCCGCAAAATTAATTCACTGTCCTAGTATTTCAAAAGTAAGATTTTACCACCTTATAATTTTTAAATGAAGGATTTTTGGATTAAGTTGATTTGTTTTAAATGTAAGTATTTTTACCTCGGGAGTCTGCGACTACTGTATGACGACTGTTCCCTGGAACACCCTGTAGTTTCTTAGTCCAATACACCGATTTGGCAGTCGGAATGTTAGTTGGTGAGGAATTAAGAAATGGGAGGTTTCAAATACTATTTTTTAGTAAATCTGTTATTTTATCTAGCAATTTTTAAAATAATTCAATACCACAGGAACATTATAGTTATTAAATATGAATATATTATAAATATAACAAAAAAAGTCATAAATAGTACAAGTTATTTAAAACAGGCACATTCATATAATTAAATTTCTTGATAGAAATGAAATACACTGACAAATGAATCACAGTGCTTAGAATTTAGTTAATTTGTTGATTTAACTAGCTGTTATTTCGACTGTGCCGCGGATTCCAGTTCCTCTTCCACTATTCTCCTATATTCATCGAAACCGCCTTCTATGCTCTTGACAGATCCATTTCCACATATCCACAGCTCATTGCACACCATCCTTATCAACCTTTCATCGTGGGAAACCAAGATCACACCACCCTAAAACATTTTTTTTGTGATGCAGTTAAGGTGCCAATATAACCATCTACTTACGGTGTATTTTTGAATGGCTTTCCCTAACGCCTCTATTGTCTCTATATCCAGATGATTAGTGGGTTCATCAAGGACAAGGAAGTTGGGAAAACCCATGCACATCCTGGCAAACGCGACTCTTGATTTTTGACCCCCCGATAAACTGGACACAGTCTGTAGTGCCAAATCGCCTGAGACCCCAAAGCTACCCAACTGTCTCCTATATTCCTCAATCGGTTTACCTGAGACAAAGCAACAGGAATTTAGTTGACATTAATGCATATGAAATGGTATACAGTTGCAATGTTCCAGACAAAATTGTACAGGTGATTGCCTAACCAAAAATTATGTTCGTATGATTGGATATCCACAAATGTCTAATTTTTTGAGATATAGGGCGAGGTTTTATTATTTTTTTAAGTTATTCTTATTTATTTTACGTATTTTTTTAAGATAATTCATTCAAATTCAGTACATTCAATACATTTTGAGGACAGATGGAATGGAATGTATGAATTACCAGTATTTTAATGTACAGGGTGCTTTTTGGAGGTTTCCCTATTTTCCGAAAAGATAGAAAAAAATTAACACGGGCTCTATTTTTGACAAAAGTCTCGTGGTATAAACTGCTGTCGATATAGTGATTACAAATCCTGTAAATTATAAAAAAATTTCTTAAGATACAGATACAGTGAAAATTGGTTATAACGACATTGATTTATACGACATATTGGATATAACGATGGAATTTGAAAGTCCGGATTAAGTCCTATAAAAAGACCACATTAAAAATATTGTTTACTACGACACTGTTTACTATGACATGTCGACGCGTTTTTATATACATTTACCATCTCGGTTATAATGACCATTGGTGATACATGGCCTTAAAACTAATGCACCGCTCTTCCACCCACCCCGCCAGCATCCACACTTTTGACACCAGTTAGTATGTCTATGTATATTACCACTTTCTATCACGATTTCGAAGAGAATAGTGTTTAATAAAGAAGAAAAATCACATATAATACGGAGACTAAAAACGGGGAAACTAATGCAAGCATAGCAAAAGAATGTGGCGTATCACACTCTAAGATTTCAACAATTTGGAAGGATAGAAATAAAATAGTCTCTATTCAAAAACAAATCGCTAAAAATGAAGCGTGCGAGATTTTTTAAACACAAAGCAATACATGTACCTACATATTTAACAACTTCTATTGTAACTTTCTCATTTTTTCAATAAAAATTTTAAATAAAATATATGTAATTGTTTATTACGTCTCGGTTATAACGACCGTAAATAAATGGTCTGTTGAAATAAGTAGGAAAATATTTACATGAAATGTATTATTGAATCTCCTGGTTTTTTGGTAGATATATTTTTTTAAGTAAAATCACCTTTATCCTTAAAAATAAAAACACGTCGGAACATGAAGACATTAAACATGGAGAATTTTGATAATTCTCAAAACAAATAGTTCTCAAGGGGTAAAGCCACACTGGCTTACACAATGCTTTATTATATGAAGAATAAAGGAAAACAGTTTTAGATAGGAGAAAAATCGGGAACACGAGTTTTTCGAGGTGGGGCCCAACTACTCGCAGTGCTTATTGTTAACTCATGAAATGCAGGCGATAGTTATTATAGAGGCCGAATTGAGTCTCAGATCAAGCCGAAAAGAAGTGGATGAAGAAAATGGCAATTTAGAAGACCAATTATGTGGGCAGGCATCGTTATAATGAATTTCTTATGCTGAATGACACCAAAAACTTTGCGTTTTTAAAAAAACACTGAACTGGCCGGAAATACAACAAAAAGTTTGTCATAATCAATTTTACATGTAACGTGTCGTCTTTCCTGGACCATCATCAACTTCATTTCATTTTTTTAAATATGACCCTGGAAATTTTATTGCATTTTTGCAAGCCTTTATGACCCCCAATACTGTATTGCTCCAGCCCGAACCAGATTCAGACGTTTTCTCTCGAAAATTTCATTTTCGCTGTATTGTTCCTAATTTATCTAATTTTTTTATTTAGATTTCTTTGTTTATTGAATTATCATACACTGTAAGTGTCGTTAGACCCTGTGAACTCCATCTAGTTATTTAAACTATTACCACCACAGATTAAAATGAAAAATTATTAGAGTTTTATTCCCGTGTCCATAGTTATTTCTAGGCTTCTCGAGTGCTCAAAATTCAAACAAATTCCGATCTATTTTTTCAGGATATTCATACATCTGACATGCTCTTTCACAGTTGCGGTTATAGATATAATACATTTCGATAATATTCATATGCATTTTTAAGAATTAATTCGTCATAATAAAATTAAAATTGTAATAATGTTTTAATTTTGACGCAGCAACTTATTGAGTTTGAATTTTTCGAGACAAAACGTCTGAATCTGGTTCGGGCAAAGGCAGTTAGGCAATCCAACGACCTGTCAAATTTTTAAGCAATATGGCGCTGATGGCAAACAAGTTATGTTTACATTGAGAATGCATTAAATCAGTCCAGAAGTTTTTAGTAAAAAGCGTTTAATACGAGTTTTTAGTAAGAAATTATTCATGTATTTTATTTAAGGAAGTGTTCAACTTGTCTTTTATTGAATTGTGTCGCAACGATATGTATTACTAATGCTGGTAACATGCATAGTAGTGGGTTGTGGAAGTCGTGGAAATCGAGACCAAGTTAGCTTTCAGTGTTTACCTGACATAGTGAATTTTAAATATTTTCCTCATTTCAATGATTTATCGAGAAAACGGCACCAAACATGGATATATAAAAGAAGAAAATTACTAGAAAATACAAGCGAAAATGGAATGGAATTATACTTTTTAAAAATCAAGAAAAATTTGTTAGGTACTATCAATAATTTTTACAATGATATCAATACATTCCAATTCCTTAATTTATGTATTTTTCATTATAATGCCAACGTTACATTAATTAATATACTACTACTACTAGCTTCTTTAAGTAATCACTCTGCATATTGATTGACAATAACAAAGACACCTAACTACAATCCACGAAACACTCATTATACAGTCAAAGTTCAAAAAAACAAAGCCAAGCCAACAGAAAAACGCAAACTCTTAACAAAACACATAAGTTTATATGAATCAAACAAATGTTTGCCCTCGACGCCATATTGAATTCCAATTTTCTCACGTGGTTTGGATTGCTTGGTACAGTATTGGGGGTTATGAAGGCTTGCAAAAAATGTAATAAAATTTCTAGGGTCGTATTTAAAAAAATTAAGTTGATGATGGTCCTAGAGAGATGAAACGTTACATATAAAAATTGATTATGCCAATCGATAGAGGGGAAAAAAATGGCCATGAGAAAGCGTTGTTCTTTTTTCAATATCCCCTCAAACAAGGCTGAAATGAAACAAAAATGGATTTACAAAATTTCATTTTTTTTCAAATATTTCGAAAACTAATCATGTTAGTCTTGATTTTTTAGAGGCATAAATTTGGTCCCCTGTTTATGCAACTTTGCCCCCGTTTAAGCTACTTCGTACCTCTTACCGTGTCCGAGATCCCTGTAGTGAAAAGCGAATTTGCAACATCCTGTAACGTCAAACCTCTTATGATATAATAAATTTAAAATAAAAGTTTACTTATTTTTTACAATTTCTGTCTGCTTTAAGTAAGATAGTTATAAATTCCGTCTTCTTATTTGCAAAATGTGATTATTCTTCTTTTTTGACTAAACTCCGCATTTAAATATTTCTTGAGTTCTCAAACAACTTTTGTTAAATACAGTTCTTAATGAAAACAAAAATTAAAGGCACTTTGCTTAGGGAAAATTTCACATTTTGAAATTTTTTGGACCCCTTGTATGTTTTATATATTTTATATTTGATTACTGCTTATGGCTTCCCAAGATAAGCAAAACTTTTTATTAAGAATAACTTTCTCGAAAAATCAACAATAAAAAAGTTTACAAGAGTGCGGTATCGCCGGTACTCCATTCGGGGTCACACTGTATACTGATTGTTAACTTTAATGTTTTTTAACATTCAACTTAATCATATTGAAAGTTGAGAACTTACCGGGATAAGTCTGCTGAAGTAATTCAACCGAATTCACATTCATATCAAGTTGGTCCACGTGATGCTGACTGAAGTAACCAAACTTAAGATTCCTATGTACGTGCCTCATGCCAAGGGTTGGAGATAAAATTCCCATGATGATTTTAAGGAGAGTTGTCTTTCCGGCGCCATTATCGCCGACCTAAAAAAAGTTAAACCCAGCCAATAAGGGCAAAAAAATTTAAAAAAAATGTTATAAACAGTTTGTACAGGTAGGCCAGTTTCGATACTTGATTTCACGTATTTTCAGTGGATAGACAAAAAGCAGTTATGGATTCGACTTTTTTAAAAAATTGTAATGGTGGAAACTCCATTTCAATATCTTGATTCGTTTAAGAGACAGAGCATTTTTAATTTTTTAGTGTTTTTATGAATTTTATCCCCAAAATTACAGAAATGTATTGTGTACCTCACTGACCTGTATGCAGGACATATGAGACGTCCTCTAAAAGTATCAAAATTGACCCACCCTGTATAGAAATTTAACTTACAATACATATCCTCGAGTCCATTGTGGCTCCAAGATTGACATTGCTAAATATAAGCCTTTCTGTATTGTATCTGAACGATACCTCATCAAGTTGCAAAATAGGAGGTGATAAAGGCTCAGTTTCAGGCAATTTTAATACTACTTCGGTTTCTTTTACTATAGGTTTTAATTCTGGCCTGAAAATCATCGTAAAATACATAACAAATTTCTATTAAATGGGTATTACTTAACTTACAATTTTTCTAACATCTTGATTTTTGATTGTACCAGTGCAGCTCTGTTCGCATTGTACCTAAACCTGTCGATGAATTCCTGAACATGTTGCCTCTGTTGCATTTGAGCTTCGTACTCCCTTTGTTGGTTCTTTAGTTTTTCAATTTTCGTTTTCTCAAATTGCTCGTAATTGCCTCTAGAAAATTTAAAAAATACTGACTATGTAAGTAAATTTCTGACAATTGTATTTAAATTTTTAGTTTCTTACCGATAAGAGTCTATCCTTTGTGAATGAAGATGTAATATATCTGTAGGCACAGTATCTAAGAAATTGCGATCGTGAGACACAACAAGTAGAGTGGTAGGCCAGTTTTGAAGGTAATTCTCCAACCAAATGATGGCTTTTATGTCCAACATATTGGTAGGTTCATCAAGTAAAAGCAGATCAGGCCTAAAAATATATGTGTTAAAAGTGATAATGCATAATTATAATGTGTACATTACTCAATGCGTAGGTTAATCATAATAAGGCCATCTTAAGTATACTGGGGCAAAATTAAGCGTGTTATGGAAATCTCTCAGATTTGGGTAGGACTCGCAAAAATAGTATCATAAATCTTTATAATTTTTTTTATTTGGGCTCATCCCATGTAGAGTTATTAGCTCTTGAACTTGAAAGTTGAAAATTGATTTTTCATTATGATGTTTTTGTTTTTCATTATATTTATTTAACGTATGGGTAAAAGCTGTCTTATTTGAATCTACAGGATGTAAGAAGTTTGACTGCCATTACTTCAGCATGAGATAGAGTAATTATAAATGAACAAAACAATTGTATATTACAGAGGCTAAGATTAACAGTTTTCAAAATACAGCGTGTATTAATATTGTGGAGTTTCATCACAACGTGACAACAGCGCTTAACCTGCTGATGCACACCACGTGTACATGCGGCAGACTTGTCCTACGGAAAAAATGTAAACAACTATTATTGTGAAACATTTAATAAATTTCAAAACAATCGTTTTCCAGTTTTTAAATAAATAAAATAAAATGTATCGATTTTGTAGTACGAAGATAGCGTTGTGCTTAAATTTTAGCTCGAATTTTAGTAATTATGAATCTCATAAAACAGGAATTTAACTTTTAATCAAATTACGTATTTGAAAAATATGTAATTAAAGTACTTTAAAGTACCCAAAGATTCACGTCGTCCAAATAATCATACGTATTAAAAATAATTTAGTTACCAAAAAGCAAAATTCAGTAATTTTTAAATGCACAAGTACAAAACAATCTACAACATATGCTCAAAATGTCCACAACCATTTTCGATGCACGTACGACACCTTCGAATCCAATATTCGCACACTCGCTGGGAAACACCTCAAGAAAAGGAAATAATGAATGCAAAAAACACTCCAACATGGTTGAATTCAGATACCAACTGAATAGCGTATTGCTGGACACTTTAGTACCTTAATAAACCGCCGCGCCATTGTCACATTGTTCGATTTGAATTTTATCAAAGGACCCCGCACAAACCTTATTGGCAGTCAAACTTCTAACACCCTGCATATCTACTAATGTATTCAATTTACTGACAGCTATTGTGGGGGACTGGGGTCAGTGTGTCCTCAGCAGTTTTGGCCTATAAAAAAAATATAGGCCTATTTTTTAATTCTTACTGCCGTTTATAAGATTTTCATACTTTTTAAAATAAAGGTGTATTTGTTTGATATCGATTAATAAATGCTTTCGAGAGAAATATGTTTGACAAAGAATATATTGTACTGTTTTCGATATACGAGGGATGACCCAAAAATAGCTGGACACCGTTTCCAAAAAATATAGAATTTATTTTAATACTAATACACTAGTGCAAACATTTTATTCCACTGCATGAAACACCTTTCATACTCATCCTTTCCGATGCCTTGCAATGCTGCTTTCGATTTACTTTTCACCTCTGGAACTTCTGCAAAAGGTTTCCCTTTCAGCTCCCTTTTCATCGGAGGGAAAAAAAAGTAATAACAGGGTGCCAGATCAAGTGAGGAAGTGGTATCATGCAGTTTTTCGCTAAAAAATCATGTACAGAGATCCCTACTCTGCCACAAATCGGGCCATTTCAATCGAACACTCTCACACAGCTGCCTTAAAACATTCAAGAAGACTTTTCATTGTTTGATGCTCAGGAACGTACTCTGAGTGAACAATGCCACAAACGTCAAAAAATATATCAACATTGTCTTCAACTTGCCAGGCCTTTTTCAGGCGAAGGAAGTTCGTGTCCTTCTACTGCAACGACTGTTGTTTTACTCAGGTCCGTAACCATAACACCACGATTCATCCCCGATGATAATTTTGTCGAAAAAGTTCTCGTCCACTTCCAAGTGGTCCAAAAAGTCACAAGTCAACAGATTTTTTAAGTAAAACACATACTTAAAAAGTCTCCAAAATAAAAATAGGGTTGCCATTTAATAAAATTATCGACTACGTGATATTTTCCAGTTCACAGAGACACTGTTAATATTTTTTTATAAAAAGGTATACTACTTATAATACTAATCGATGCATTTAAGCATTTTCTCCAAGAGAGTTTTTTTTTTCATATACCAAATTTGTTCTAAGTTAGTGACGCATTGTATATCAGTAAATACCTCGTTTAATTGCAATGAAAAACCAACAAATATCTCACTGTACTGACTAATCATAATCTGGAATTATTTATATTTATCAGAACTATAGAATGGATTGTGTGCATCTACAGGGACTAGAAAAGTAATTTTAATGTGCAGACATCCACAAATGAAGTGAATCATATATTTTGAACATCCTTTTTTACAAATATTTGAAGATAATCTTTTGAAAAAAATTAAGAAAAACTGTTTTAAATATTTAAATTATTTTAGAACTGTCTAGAGTAGACATATATAGGTATTTTTTTTTAATTTACCTTGAAAACAGAGCTCGCGCCAATGCAAGACGCATCCTCCATCCACCAGAAAAAGTTTTTGTCGGATTCTGTTGCATTTCAGACGTGAAACCTAAACCATTGAGAATTATTGATGCTTTAGCTGGAGCTTTATCTGCTTCAATATTCTGTAGTTGAGAGTAAATTTCAGAAAGCTGGTTGTTAAGTTCAGGATCTGCAGACCTGAAATACGTGATTTAAAATTACAGTTGTAAGATAATGTCTAAACAAAATGTCGAACCATAACCGATGATTTTATGTTGTTTTGTTTCTTATTGTTTTATTTTAAAGTGTTTATTATGCATCTACAAATTGTAATATATTTATAATGTGGATGAAATACATGATGATAGTTTGATCATTGAATTTTCTAATTAGTAAGTAATTAATTTTATAAATATTTAAATATCCATTCTACTAAAATACGTTATTTATATACCAACCCCGCATTAATAGCAGCACTAACTTCTTTCTCTCTATTCAACAAGTCTTGCCTAACTGTATCACATTCAAGAACGCTATTTAATGCTAGTGTATCATCACCTGTTACCTAAAACAAAAATATAATTAAAGAAACAAATTTTTTTGAATAAAGACATCTTCCAAAAATATCTAAAAAATACACATTGTGCAGGGTGATCAATATATCCTGGGAAAATGTGTTTTTCGTGAAGAGAGACTGTCAGTCACATGTGGGATAAAAAATTATATTGTTATATTGCATAACAAAAATAAATCAACAAATGTTGAGGGTATAACGAACTCGGAAATATTTTTAAATCTTTTGTTTGATGGAAGACATTTTTTTTCTTCCAAACTGAATAAATAATCGAGTCTTTCAAATATGCAAGGTATAAGCTTGCCATCGCAAGGTATAGATACCTATGGTTCTTGTTGTCTAATGATTTTTTTTTTAGTATTGGTGGATTCTGTCCACTGTAATTTTTCATTTTTGTATGCAATTGATTTGTCGGTAGAAGATTCAGTCACTCTAAGGGCTAAAGCTTTCTTTAACTTCTTCCACAAATTCCTCAGCGGTCCTTTCTTTTCACTCTATTCATTAAAAGAATCCCGAAAAGATCCCTCATTCGAATTGGAAAAATAAGCTACTGCTAGTAAACTCATCTTTTCTCAATTTCTTTGGATTTCTAATTTTTGGCTCATTCGATCCGAGGGCACCAGGTACTGAATTATCTGTCGATATCAATCCCATTTACAACAAATTATAAACTCTTTTGATTAATAGTGGCAAAACGTCAAATATAGTGCTTCGTCTTTCATTGCAATAATAGTACAGTTGACCCGCGGTAATCCGGCACCCCCTATAATCCGACATGCGTATACGTGACTTGTGCTCGACGCGTATTGTCTCAGTTTGATTGTGAATGTGACTGCAGGTGCTCATGCATATTGCAGCCGCATCGTACAACGCATATCTACACGTGTCGAAATGGCTTCGCAAATCCAAAAGTGGAAACACAAAACATTAACAATTAAAGAAAAAAATGAGATTCTGGACCGCCTAAATCGTAATTAATCTTTTAATAACATGGCAAGTGAATACGCTGTAGGACGTTCCACAATTTATGTTATTAAAATGAACCGCGAGAACATTCAAAGGTTCGTGTCAACGACTGACTGAGGGCCAGCTTTGTACATGTGGTTTCTTCGGGAAAGAAACAGGCATACGCCTATTTCTGGGCCGATATTGGCCATGAAAGCATAATTTTTTTACAAGGAGATAACAAAAAAAGACGACTTTGTGGCTGGCAAGGGATGGTTGGAACATTTCAAAAGTCGTCATGGAATACGTTTGATGACTGTAACAGGAGAAAAACTCTGTAATAATGCATCCTGCATCGAGCCATTTAAATTGCGATTTTTACAAAAAGTGAAAGATTTAGATCTTTGCCCTTCACAGGTATACAATGCAGATGAGTCAGGGCTATTTTGGCGTGTAATACCTAGCAAAACATTTGTTTCACATGATGAGAAATCGGTACCTGGACGTAAGGTGAGCAAAGAATGTGTAGCCATATTACCTTGTGCTAATGCTTCGAGCACGCACGGGCTAAAGATGGTAGTCTTTGGAAAATCAAAAAAATCCACGAGCATTCAAAAACATTGATTTACCTGTACACTATTATGGACAAAAAAGCGAGTGACAAAAGACCTTTTCAAAAAGTAGTTTGATGAATGCTTCGTGCCAGAAATTAGGAAATGTTTGAAAGATCATAATCTACCTCAAAAGACGTTACTGCTTCTTGATAATGCTCCCGGTCATCCGTCCGAAGAAGAACTGACAACTGAGGATAAATGCATCACTGCGATGTTTCTTCCACCAAACTGCACTGCGCTGATCCAACCAATGGATCAGCATATCATTCAGTTTGTCAAGCAAGACTACAACAAAAAACTGCTGCTGACGGCCATATCAAAAGACCAACCTATAGAAAAAACATAAAAATAATTAAACATGAAAGACCTGGTTTTCGCCCTTTGTCAATCTTGGAATGCATTGCCCCCATCAACCATTACATCGTCAAGGAAAAACTTATGGCCAGAAATAGTCACCACTCCCAACACTGCTCCCCAAATCAGTGTTACTTCGGAAGTCATACAGCAAGTTGCTACCGAAACACAGATTAGTTCGGAAAATTTGGAAATCTGGTAACGTGGAATGGATGAAGAAGAAAGTGCCTTCCATCAAATGTTTGATGAGGAGATTGTCAACCAAATTTCTACTCCAATAATAAATTAAGACGATGATGATGAAGTCATCGCAACTACTCCACAAGTGTCAGCAAAAGATGCGATTAATGCATTTGAGCTGGGTATGTAATGGGCTGAAGAGAATGGTGCATTGTGTAACAAACTTTTACTTCTGAGGAGACTGAGATACAAGGCCTTACTCTCGTGTTTTACCAATGTAAAATAAAAGAAAATTGATGAATATTTGCATGCACCATAAATTTATTTGCTTATCCATTTTCAAATTAAGATTATAAAACATATGTACCTTGGAAATATATACTTACATATGTAGTATGTAACTGATTGGTAATAAACCCTAGGCTATCTATTGTGCTGTTTAATTCACTAAGTTCCATATCGTATATGTATTATACCATTATTATAAGTAATTTGTCGGATTATAAGGTACACCTTTTCAAAAAAGTTTCGGACTGCAAGGGGAGATTGGCAGTACTCTATAGTCTGACTAATTCGATCATCCGACACCGTCTTGCAAAACGTTTGTCGGATTACCGCGGGTCTACTGTATATCCGTTTCAGCCAACACATAGCGGTGTGTATATTGTATCTCTATATAAAGCAATGAAAGAGTTAAGGCCGAGAATTTCAAGAAAGTAATTTTCAACGGTTAGTATCTCAAAAATTGTTGACACTATAAAAAAATGCTAGAGTATAGTTTTACACAGAAAAATTCAATTAGAATAAGGGTATGTTTCAGAGAAGAAAAAAAATATATTTAGTCCAAGCATTATAGAGAAATGCTTACAGAAATTATTACCTGGACAAAAAAATATGACCGTATAGAAAATTAAATTTTAAATTGAGTTTCTTGTTCTTTAAACTCGATCTAATATGGTTAAAAAAAATCGCAAAGTTGAAAAAAACGGTTTTTTCTAAAATAACTAAAAGAATATAGCACGGATTGAAAAATTTTAAATGAAAAAGTTGTAGGTTTTAAAAAGATCTATCGACTGATTTTTTGAAAGTATCGATTGCTTTGTTACTTTTCGAGATATATCGAAAAAACCGTTAAAAACCTTCTCTTTTCTCTTCTTCTATAACTCGTTTACATTTACGTGCCCATATTTGCTATTTACTGCAAGCATAGCCCGCGGCAAGCCAAAAAAGTACATTTTTGAAAAATTTAAAAATATTAATTATTTTTCGAGATATATCGATTTTTTGAAAAAAAGGCGCTTTCGAAAATTGGCTAGATCTTCTCAGCGGATAGCCCTACAGTAACGATTTTCGGTTTATTTTCTTCGTAAAGAGTTATATTATCATGCTGTTAAAAAATGTTGACGATTTTATTAATTTTAAGGATAAAAAAATGACTGAATAAGTTGCACTTTTTTGGGTATGTTTTTTTCAAATTACTATTTCAATTTTTATTTTATGAAAATGCTATAATATTCGTGTTCAGCTACTCCAGATTAAGTACAAAAAAATAATAAAAATTGAAATAGTTATTTGAAAAAAACATACCCAAAAAAGTGCAACTTTTTCAGTAATTTTTTGATCCTTAAAATTAATAAAATCGTCAATATTTTTTAACAGCATGATAATATAACTCTTTACGAAGAAAATAAACCGAAAATCGTTACTGTAGGGCTATCCGCTGAGAAGATCTAGCCAATTTTCGAGAGCGCCTTTTTTTCAAAAAATCGATATATCAAAAAATAATTAATATTTTTAAATTTTTCAAAAATGTACTTTTTTGGCTTGCCGCGGGCTATACTTGCAGTAAATAGCAAATATGGGCACGTAAATGTAAACGAGTTATAGAAGAAGAGAAAAGAGAAGGTTTTTAACGGTTTTTTCGATATATCTCGAAAAGTAACAAAGCAATCGATACTTTCAAAAAATCAGTCGATAGATCTTTTTAAAACCTACAACTTTCTCATTTAAAATTTTTCAATCCGTGCTATATTTTTTTAGTTATTTTAGAAAAACCGGTTTTTCAACTTTGCAATTTTTTTTAATCATGTTCGCCATATTGGATTGAGTTTAAAGAACAAGAAACTCAATTTAAAATTTAATTTTCTATACGGTCATATTTTTTTGTCCAGGTAATAATTTCTGCAAATTTAACATTAATCCATGACAGAATGCTTGGACTAATTGCCAGAGTTCCACTAGTCGGTGTGAATATATAACAAATTTTTTATCTTACAAATGAGTATACCATTTTCAGAATCCAATTATTTTCATTTGATTTGAAGAAAAACATTTTCCGAGATGTATAAATCAGCCTGTTCGTTTTAGTTTACAATATATTTTTAATTTTCAAAATATCTCGAATTCTTTTTAATAAGAAAAAATGGACCAGAATAGACATACTGGAACAACTTGAATAAAATGTTGTCAAAGATATTTCAAAAGGATTGAATAAAAAAAATATTAATTCATTTTCTGCACTATGCATACACATACTAGACAATTTGCACATAAAGAGTAATAACATAGTAGCAATATGTAAAAAATATACTTGTATATTTATTGTACTTTGAAACTAATGATTCACACATTCCATAGTTTCATCCTATGATAAAGATAAATTAGTCTGTAAATAATAATATGAATAAATACATGGTTAAATAACATTTCTATAATGTTTCTGTTGATATTTTATACAAATAAAAGTACCTACCTCTTGTTCTACATGTAGGATAGATATGTGAGAAGGTATTCGTAATTGTCCTCCAGAAATCATTCTTAGCAAAGTACTTTTACCTAACCCATTTCTACCAACTAAACCATATCTTCTTCCAAATGCTAATGTCAAATCAGCACCTTGAAGCAGTACCCTAAGAGTCAATTAATTTAATTTGAATATTCTGAAAAAGTGTAGAAATAAAATATACCTGTCTCCATAAGCCACATCGAAATTTTCTATTCTAATGTCCTGTGTTCTATTATTGCCTTTTGATTCCAATTTACTTTCTTTTTTGCTTGTTACCTGAGAAGCAGTAGCAGTTTGTAATTTCGGAGGGGCTACTGTTTTCACGTCTTTTGTTCTTTTATCCTGCTTTTCTTGTAATTTGGCTTGTGCTTTTTCTAACTTTTTTGCATCAACTTTCTAAAAGCATTTTGTTTCAATATAGTATATTTAATTAACATTTTTTTCCTACCAGTGAATCATCTCTTTGCATAACCCATATACTTTTAATATCACCAATATTACTCTCTAAATTATCTACCATCGAACCTAGGTGTATAGGGGCATTTAATACTTTCATTGGACCATTGTTCTCTTTTTTCTTACTTGGTTTTAACATATTTAATAATTCATTACATATATTTCTATAAATCGAAATATATTTATTATAGCATATTGCAACATCAGAATGGTGGCTTACCGTATGTCTTCTTCTGTTTTATCACTAGATATTTCTTGTAAAACCTCTCCAACGGCTTCATATACTTCCTCGCTATCTTCAAAGTCTTCGGCCCCGTTTTCTAAAACTCCTACAAGAACATTATAATTGAAAATAATTTACGTTGGTAAAATATCGTTTTGAAATGTGACAAACCTTCAACATATTGCTTCAGATCATCATCTATTGAAGGAAACACATTTTTAATGTATTCACTACACGTTCCCATCTTATAGACGGTTCGGATTTTTCCAAATAAATTGATGGGTTAATAGGAATTAACCTTTAAATTTGGAAAATGACAGTACAGTAACCAAAAATGACACATTTATAATTATTTCACAATTTCACATGTAATTTTTCAGTGTTGCCAAAAGCTTATTCAGAAATTCATACGCTGCATTCCTTTCAACCAGATTCGTTCAGTTGTTCCTACAAGACACCTACTTTTCAAAATTTATATTGGTGGCACGAAATTTAGATGGTAATAGATTTTAACTAAAGATCTTCGAAATTTAAACTTACCTGGTTTTCTAATTTCTAACTTCGAGCATTTACTACTGGAGGTGGAGGCCTTCTAATGGCCGGATAAGTTACAACAAGATGAAGATAGAGAGAGAGCTACTATAAAATTACTAAATATGCTAGAGAGGGAGAGAGAGAGCACGTCCCTTCAAAGTAGCTATCTCTATCTTCGCCTTGTAACGTGCCTAGCCGTTGGGAGGTTATCTCCAGTAGTATATCCTCGAAAATTTCTAACAACTTCTATCAAAAGAACTTATGTTTCTGGTCAAATGCAGTTGTTTGAGGTCTATTGACTGCTTAGAGCATGGAGAAAACACGTTTACGGCGACAGTGTAGACGAATGACAGAGAGAGAAAGTTATAGTTTGTGTACTACCTTTCTTTCCTGCACAGGCTAACGCAACTCCTTCCTCAATTATTAGAGAGAGAGAGCAGCCTATCGTTCTTTCTCTCTGCAGAATCTACACTTTTTAACACGCGTTGTTCCTCAATACTCTACTTACTCTAGTATTAGCCATTTCCCTTTTACGTCGTCTTAGCTAATCTAATATGATCTTACTTAGTACACCGTTCTTTTTATTTTCTTATTTTAAGAATAACTAAGGTATTTACCCGCTCTCCCCCTTACCAACGAAAAGTCTACTGAATTACTTAAATCACCTAAATTAAGAGTTTTGGCTAAATTTTTAAAAATTCAAGATCATAGAGAAATAGAGGCTGTTTATGGTTTGTTTGGTGTTTGATTTACTTTCGATTAAGACAACGTAGAATAATTATGTTGTATATGGTCCATTACTGAATATTAAGAAATCTTTATTTACCATTATACGTTGATTGAAATATGCTCTTCAGTCAACGCATTATAACTATAAAATTGTTTCTCAACCGGTGCAGTAGCCATCAGTTACTTAATATACATATCTAAGAAAACGGAAATTCAGTTGAGACAAAAATTTGTAAAAGGAAAACAGCTACTGTAATTTAAAACTGATACTTAAATTACAAGACGTCAACTTTTTCATTATGAATTTGAAATTTGAAAAAGCTATGTAGAAAGTTGTAAAAAATAGCTATTTATGATATACGTGTTAAAAGTAAGATTTTATTTTGTGAGTGAAGATGATTAAAAAACGAGCGTAGCGAGTTTTTTAACCTCACGAACAAAATAAAATCACTTTTAACACGTATATCATACACTATTTTTTCTACAAAACTGTTAAAAGTGGGCTTTTTAATTGTCATTTTTGATGTTAAAAATGTCATTTTTGACACGCGTGTTAAAAGTAAGTTACTTTTAACACTAGTGTGTCAAAAAATGACATTTTTAACATCAAAAATGACAATTAAAAAGCCCACTTTTAACAGTTTTGTAGAAAAATATATATATATTTCAATATTGTCAACGAGTCAACGTGAAATGTATGTGAGCCTTGGATTTAGCTTATCTAACCAATACCAATGCACTTTTGGTTTTATAAGCTATGCTATCACAGCGTTCTCGTTATTTGTGCCAAGAATCGCAAATGTGACTCGTTGGTTGATATATTCTCTGTTTCAGTTAACGTATATATTCTCAATATTTTTAGTTTCTCTATGGAGTTTGCATTCGTTGCACTGCCATCTTATAGTTAATAGTTAAATTATCATATGTCGATAAATTAGATTGCAGCAAAGTAAAACATATTTACGACGCCATATTGTCATTTAAATAAATCTGTTGTCTGTTGTTGACAGTGGACGCTGTGGATGTAAGTGCCGGTTTTATTTTATATATTAACGCAAAAGGTGAGTCGTTTTGCAATTATTTATTCATATATTTTCTATATAGTTACTTAAATTACTGCTGATTTTGTTTTTTCTTTTTCCGGCAAGTGAATGTGTATCTAAAGTTCTAAGTAGCACCATAACAATACAGTTTTTTTTTGTGTAAACTGTAAAGCATTCTGAAAGAAATTTAGACATAACTCGAGTTCAGTGTAACTGTTGTTTTGATGGCGTTTTTGCACGATTTTGAGGCGCTGCATTTCTTTCTCCAACCTATATCACATTTCTACATACGTTGTTAAATTGTTAAATATCTGCCCAGTTAGTTATGCATGATAAATTTACAATTTGTCTTGCAATGAGTGGAAGACACTCCTTAGCGAAAAATTGTTGGAAAATGAGTTACTATTAGATGTTCAATATTGTTATTTTTAATATAAAACGATCTACTTACCTATTCAGGAGGTTCTGTCCAGACATTTATTTCATTTAAAAGATAAAAGGTAGAACACGTTTGGTTGATAATTGGTTAGATTGTATAGTTGAGACTGATATATTTCCTATTACCTCGACCATAACCATTTTGACCATTTTAATTGTGTATATTGTTGAATTTGATTTAAAAAATGTAATTTCTTTATTAAGGCTTATATGATTAATATACTTACTTAATGCGTGTAATAAAGTTTGCTTATATCATTCTCCCGATTAGATAAAAATGTTGCGTAAAAGTATTAAAAAAGTTAATAGTAATAGTTGTTATTTACTTGGATTTTCATTATTTTTTTTTAATAATTCGAGAAATTGCATGATTTTTAAAAATGTTATTTTCACTTTTTGAAGAGTTAGTGGAGTTTTAAGATATGGTATACCTATTTAGACTTTTTCCTTCTCATATAACATTCAAACCTAAGAATAGTCTTTGAAGTGTCTTGTTCTAAAAATATACAGACAGGGTACTTAGAAAGCCACCAAGTAATATATAGGGCGCATCTAAATATATACGCGGTTATGTATCCCTTTGGATGCATTTGAAAGAGAAAAGAATCGTACATTTCAATGTGCATTTCCTATTTCAATCACGATTTTTTAGTGTTATAAATTATTTATTTATTTATTAATTTAATCTAAATTACATTTTAGATTGTTCATAGTTTTATCTTGCAGTAAATGGGTTTAGAAATTAGATTGCATATTTTACATCTGTAGAATATCTTTCACAAAAATATTGAAGCACATGCGGAAATTGTTTTGTAAATATTTGTGATACGATGGTTGGGAGGAAAATAGATAATTTTTTTTGTCCTTATTTCAGTTTTGTGTTTATTTGGCAAGTTATATCCTTTTGGGAATTACAAGGTGAAATGATGTCTAGTCTGTACGATAGTATTATAACTTATGTCTGCTACATGTAAATAGTGGTAAATATTTTTAAACCTGACTAGAATTCGTTGACCTGCTAAAATAGCTTTAAAAACGTCAGATGTTTTATCGCGCTGTTCGAAAGCTACTCCCGCGAATACTAATTTAAATCCGAAAAGTGGCATTTATAAAATTATTATTTTTATATAATTTATTTATTCCGTACTTTGTATTTGTTGATAAAAATAAATATTGAAAAAACTATTTTTTGATTTTCAAGTTAAATATACAGGGTGATTCAGTTTGAAATGAACTTCGAGGCTAAGCGGAACTTAATGCCAGTTTGTTATAAAAAGTTTTTTATTTGGGGCTTTATAAGGGAGATACAAGGTGTTGAAATTTTCAAAATTTTCATTTGTTGAAATTTAACGTTTTTGACGGGTTAAGTTAACGGTTAAGTAAATGGAAAAAGTTAAATTTGTAACCGTAACAGATACGAAAATGGGTTAAAATACAATTTTTGTTGGAAATTAAACTACGTTTAAAAATGCTATGTACTTTAATATTATACAGGGTGATACAACTTTTTTTCTATATTACGGGTACTGCCGATACCTCCACCACTAGTTGTTGCTACTTACCTACACATTTTATAACACCTTTATTAGTTAAAATACATATATACCAAATGTAACTGAAATATCTTAACATTTTGGTAACTATACAAAAAACTTCTTTTTGAAAATTTCAATCTCCTGCAACGCCTTATAAAGCCTCAAAATAATGAAAATATAAATAATTTTTCCGAGACAGTGTGAATACAGTAGGTTTAACTGTTCCTAAAGTTTTATGTCTACCGTTACAAAATTTTCAGAGATCTTCACAGAATAAGCACTGATGCAAATCATAATTTGAGGTAATTAATAAATAGAATAGAAATTATTGTATTGTTGTCTTCATTAATAATGATGTTTTCTATTATACCGAAAGAAGGATTAGGATACCTAATAAAACACAAGACTTGATTTTGTAAAAAATACCATTAATTTTTAACCATGGCACGAAAAAACTTGAAGATGAAATTTCTGAATTAGATGGAAGGATAACGTCTCCTTTTATTAAATTTTAAATTGGTCCATGTTCAAACGTGTCTATTAGTCCTTTTGTGATAAAATTCTATACGATAATTTAAGCTGCTTCCGCATACAAAGTGAAAAATATACATTTTTTCTACATGTAATAAGGGTAGCTAAATATTTTAAATATTTATGTTTTACTTCGTATCTAATGGAGCTAACATGTATTACAGGTCCAAATTTCTTTATTATATTTGGGTAGTGAAGCAAAAAATTAAATTTAGGCTTTAAATTTTCTTTAAATAGTTTTAAACACATTAGGTGATGGTCTTCAATAAGACATTTTAAAAAATCAATGGATTCATCATTAAAGATAGACAAAAATAACATTTCGATTATTTATAATAAAATTAAGTATAGTATCCATGTTTTATCATTTTCTGGAACTAAATCTCTAATAATTAAATGAAAATTTAAAACTAAGGAAAGCATGAAGATGACAGTAATATAACCGTTTCTAATTTGTTCATGCATACTTAATATTTGGAGGAATGTTTTTATTTATACATATAAGAGTTATACTTAATTCGAGCATTTAGTAATGTAGCTTAATGTAAGATAGTTATTAGTTAATAAATTGTTAATAATTTTCGCCATTTCATAACGATAGATTCCTTCGAAAGGGTTATGCATTAAATCACAACTAATATTTTTATATATGTGAAAGTCATCCAGTTCAATGAAAATGCAATTTTCCTTAACACCATAATCAGAAGCAGTTAAATGTTCTAAGTAGTCTTGTTCTTGTCTAAGACTACATTACACACTCCTACGATGAACTACACTGTACAGTACACCACAAACTATACACCGAGCTATACACCATACACACTCACACTACACTGCAAGTTATAAAACACATACGAGACGAGTAACTGCATGTGGTAGAAGGTAAAATTCTAAATGCCTTTGGCTGTCGCTGAAAGTTAATCCACGCTTTTCGCCGTAGTTTTAAAAATATGATAGTTTTGGATTAAAACAATATACTAAAATCAACTATACCACATCTTTAAATGCAGTTTATCTGAAAATTTAACGATATGATAGTTTTATGTCAATAAATACTATTATTCCTTTGATAAAATAAGTGTTTTAATTTGGATTTATGATTTATTTGTTTTAAATAAGTTCATTTAAATTAAAATAACCAAAATGTAGATGCAACCTTAAAACATGACTGTTTTAAAGAAATTGATTTGTTTTACATTATAATTTACTATGTTTTAATACATTATATTATATGTTTAAATTTAGGATGTATCTTTGATTCTAATACATTTTCTAAACATAAAATAGAATTGTTCCAAATACATGAGTAATACTGAAATAAAGATATATGATCAAATTAAATAAATTTTTCTTCATAAGAAACAATTGTTTTTAAAGAAATTTGTAGTTTATTATTAAAGATACCTTTTTATGTGTGCAACAGAATTGAAATAAAAACAACAAAAAAACAACACAACTTTAATTTCTAAATAATAATAATACACAAAAATTCAAAGTCAAAGTAAACGCAGGCTAGGAAACTGGCGCTGGCCGCTTCTTAACGCCTGCGGATATTGTCTTTGTGGGAGTTTTCGCACAACGCGTTTTTACATTACATTCAAATTACATTGTTTTATTTTAACGTTGTAAGTTAATGTGAAATTTTAAATTTCTAGGCGGTATTGTAAAATTTAAGAAATTAGACGAAAATTATTTGATTTTAAGTTGTTTTTTAAAAATCCAGGGGGGGCGACGGACCCCCTCTGCCCCCTGCTCCCCTGCTTCCCCTGCCTCCTCTGCCGGCGGCCCTGAATATGTCAGTAACACTTGAACAAGTACGTTTATTAAGAAAAAAAGCGGTGAATAGCTATTATTTGGTTACGGTCGAACTAAACAGAGCCCAAACTGCATTGTAAATATGCGATACTTCTACTCCGCTGTAAACACTACGGATGTAGAAGCGAGCTACGAGGCGCCCACGTATTCGAGAGTTTTGCAAACGATTTTTGCAATTCGTGTTAACTGCACTGTTTGTTTATTAGCTTGTTAGTTAGTTAGTCTTAGTCGTAAGTCTGTTTTGCATTTTGTTATCAGATAAATCAAGAAAGATGATGTCAAAATAAAAATAATAAATGTCACGTCAAACTTCATCGGAGTTATTATTTTAAAACATAGATTAATTAATTCATCCTGAACCAGAAATACAGTCCACAAACAATTTCAAGAAGTGAATCAAGAATCCAACATGCACATTACAAACTAAACATTTCCTTTTTAATGAGTTTCACAAGCCAATCCATTTAATTATATACTTAGATAACATTGTAAATAAAATTATTTTACCCTACTACTAAAAGGGAGACACCCCAGAGTCCCCCGCACCATCCGCCGCTGGTAACAACAATACAGTGCACCATAAATCATGAGAGACGTAGAAAACTAAAACTGATACTATTGAATACCTAAAAAAATATGCTAAAAGTCTTCGGAATTAATTAGTAAATTAGAACTAGTTATTAGCTTTATTGTCAACGATTTTTCTTCAAGGGACGAATTTATCACAATTTTTCAGGTTTTATTCATATATTATGCATAACTATACTCTAATCAATATGTTTGAATAGAGCAAAGTCCACTACAAGCGAGAAACATTGTTGTCGTATTAAATTCTTAAATTTCATTATCTTTTAAAATAATTCGGTACTATTAAAACATAACATTATTTAAAGAAAAAATTTGTTATACCTACTGAGGATTAGTATTAAGACACACGGCAAGTTCTTCGCATTAAACCAATAATATTGTAGGCATAAATAATTTGCTACATGTATGTTAAATGCGTTTTACTATAAAAACATGTTGCTTATGCCCGAGTGTTAGTTATTTATATGCCAAATATACAAAAATTCTTTTAATAAAATATGTTTCGACTTGTTCATTTATTATTGTACTTTATGATTTTCCTAAATGAGTGGCAATGTCGCCAACCTGGCGACCTATCTGTTCTAGCTATCTTCTCTTAACTCGTTTTATGGGTATAAATTTATCATTGTTGCTGGCTCACTACCGGCAGTTCACTTGAAATCCTTTTAACGGCATTGTCGTCGGTGGAGGTAAATTCGCGCGTATTTTTTATTGTTAGTTTTATTAACGGCCTATCTCTGTGGTGGTAAAGTGAAATAAAATATATTATTTTATTTATGTTCTCTCATAATGTCGTTTAGTAGATTTTTAAAATATCCATCATATAGGGAACTAGGGACTACTGTTCTTGACCTCTTCAGAAAAGAAAATCGTCCCCGCATATGTTTCAGACTGATACTGCTAAATTTGTTGGATTTTGCCCTATTCAAACATATTGGTTAGAGTATACTTATTTCGGTCACATTTCTTTCTAATTAATTTGTGACGATTTTTCGGGTTGTTATGCCGTGGCCTATGTACCTGGTCACCGCCGTCTACGGACTTACCTACATTGTACTCTCTTCCTCGGGCTAGGCTCAGTAGGGCAATTTCGCTATCGGAACTAGGCATGCGCGGTTATGAAAAAAAACCGGTTAATTAATAACCGGTTAATTTAAGAAATAAAATTAACCTTTCAGGTTAATCGGTTATTATAGAAACACAGGTTTTTAGTAGATTTTTAAAATATCCAACATATTATAGGGTAATACTACTGTTCTTGACCCCTTCAGAAAAGAAAATCGTCTCCGTATATGTTTCAGACCGATACTGCTAAATTTGTTGGACTTTGCCCTATTCAAACAAATTGGTTAGAGTATACTTATTTCGGTCACATTTCTTTCAAATTAATTTATGACGATTTTTCGGGTTATGCCGTGGCCTATGTACCTGGTCATCGCCGTCTACGGACTTACCTACATTGTACTCTCTTCCTCGGGCTAGGCTCAGTAGGGCAATTTCGCTATCAGAACTAGGCATGCGCGGTTATGAAAAAAAAAACGATTAATTAATAACCGGTTAATTTAAGAAATAAAATTAACCTGAAAGGTTAATCGGTTATTATAGAAACACAGGTTTTTGGTCTTGGCTTTGATTTTTTTTAATTGTAAAAACGAACAGCACCTAAAATACCTAAACTTCAAGTTGAAAGTTGGGCAAATCATAAATCAATTGTCAACTGTCAACTGTCATATTGTCAACCGTGACGGAAGACGGCAGTGAACTCTGTGTCTATACTACGTACCATAGAGTTCACTTGTAGACGGTAACACGCAAGGCTACCAATAGAAATAGAGAGAGAGATGCGTTATTCTCGATTAAACGACTGAATCTGATCACTGCTCCGGATCGTGAGAGCCGGGCCTCGAAAATATTGCGAGCTGGATCGAATGTGGCCCGCATACTACCTGACTTTTTTCATCTTACCTGCCTACTTTTACTAAATAACTGTTATCGCCGGTTATTAAATCCAGGAAGCAGTTAACCGGTTAAACTCTAGTTATAAAATAACCGGAAATAACCGGTTAACTACAAGAAGTATAACCGGTATTTGTAATAACTGGTTATTTTTGCGCATCCCTAGTAACCCGAGACATTTCATCTGACCTGGTCGCATCCAATGTTTTCAAACGTTTCGCCATTCTACACTGTCGACTTCTTTATTACTTTGCAAATAATATTTTAGGGGTCGGATTACTGTTGGATCAAGTCCAAAGCTTTTAACTTACAATTAGCCACTTAGCTAATTGAAACTAGGGACTAGGGAGTTGTATAGGTAATTTTCTAGTTAATGAAATTACGGAAATCTATCGCGATCTCGATACTGTTCTTATAGCGTCGGTGTCGTTGCGTACGCATCCAGACGCAGTACTAAAGTGGAAGTGGGGTGGGAGGTTCCGCGGTACTGACATCGTCAGCGACGCAAGCAGGCGACAAGGCCAGGTACAATGCACATAGGTCAGGGTCAAGGAATAATAATTCCAAAAACCATCGTACTTTAAATTTAGTATTGGCATTAAAAGCCTTAAAACCACTATATAATGAGAGTAAATTAAGTTTGAATTGTTTGAACATATAATGTATTACCAAATTTTATTAACTCAATTTGAAAATATTGCCTAGTTTATAGTATATACGAATGTAATTTAAAATATTAACTTAATTTTAATATTTTGCTTAAACTTACAGTATTTTTACTTAATTTTTAGACTCAGTCCAGATGGATGTTGATACTAAAGCCGCACATCAGGAAAATGATGCAAAACATACTACTGAGGATGCACCTCAGAAATCATCCCCAAAATCAGAAACAAATGGCTCGACCAAGGATACTCCGAAACATAATTCCAGACAGAAACGAGGTGAATCCAGAAGTCGATCTCAAACTCCTCAAAAGAAGACTGAAGATGCGAAAACACTCCATATAACATTGAAAAAGCTCGATTCAGAATTAAATGGTAAAGATATACAAGAAGAAAAAGGGAAAATTGAAGAGAAAGACAATGATAATAAAGTGGAAATTAACGACACAAAAGAAGATAAGCCTGCAAAAGAGGACAGTACTAAAGTGGAAAAGGAATCAAGTAAAGACAAGCAAACGGAGAAACAGAAAGAAGAAAAACCAAAAAAAGAGGAAGTTAAGAAAGGAAATACACAAGAGAAAAAGGAGAAGAAAAAAATTGATTCAGTAAAAAAAGAAACCCCTAAAAAAGACAAAAAAGATAAAGGTAAATCAGAAGCTAAAGGTCAGGTCAATGAACCAGACACTGAGCCCGTCGAAATGGATCCATTGGTTATATCAGATGAGCCAGATCCTGAGCTTCAGTTTGATGAAAATTCCGATGTCGAATCTGGAAAAGGATCACCGGTTATATCAAGATGTGTCACAAGACGTTCTCAAACTCGCAATATACCCACACCAAAGACTCCAAAATCAGTGGACCAGGACATGGATTCTGAAAAAAATTCAGCTACCTACACTCCAATAACTGACGTCTATAATGATTTGCCAAAGACAGACAATTTAAATGACACTTGTGAATCAATGGATACAATCAACTTATCGACAAAAGCAGAAGTGGGCAGTGACTTAACTAGAATGGACTACATGGAACATCACACCTCAATTTTTGAGGATTCCAGTTACATAAGTGCCAGCAGGGAAAAGTCCTTGAGTGAAACATTGCGTGGCTTGTCGGCTCGAAGACCGATAAGGCCATTGGATGATTATAGAAGAAGAGTCCTGAGAAGCAACCTAGAAAGGTCTGATTTGAATATGCCATATCCTTCACACAACCCAGTGGAACAGATCATAACAGGTATTAAGCGTAAAAGTAGAAGTATTACCCCTGAGGATAGGAAGAAGTTTAAAACCGACTCTCCAGGAATGAATTCACTGTTCTCTAGTCCTTTCACAAATATTCGGAATAAATTTAAAACCGACTTACCATCAAGTACTCCTAAATTGCTGAGCTACAGGGACACTAACACTCGGCTGCATTATAACGATGATAATTTTGAAAATGGAGACGATGAGAAAAAAAGTTGGTGCTCTATTATGTAAGATTTATTATAAGTATATTATATATTTTATTATCCAAGGATCTGCCTAGTTTAGGCTAAGAAAATTTTTATTATACAATCTCGGATAAGAAAAGTTTGTATAGGTTTCTTATACTGCCGTGCTAAGAACAGAAGTGGTGACTTCTATTTTGGCCATTTTGAGATATTAACAGTTTTTAATTTTCACAGTGACTAAAAATTCTGCTCATAGTCAAAAAAATTTCAAATTTGATTTAAATCGGATAAATAAAAGGTTATATTATTTGTTACAGTTATAAAAATACTAATTATTGTATAATTTAATTTTTATAGTCGTGTTTTAAAAATTATAATTCTAATACTAAAGGGATTTGACATTTATCTTATAAATTTATATTGCAAAAAATAACGATTTGTCAATAAAATCAACTAACTTTATTATTTCACTGGAAAAAAAGTAAATATAATATTTGCGAACAATAAATATAAATAGGAATACATATTAAGTATCAGACTATCCGAAAATTATTAATTCAAGGTAAATTAACTTATAGGTACGCATTATTTGAATTAATAAGAAAAAGTAACATTTGAAAAAAAGATTAGTTTTCTCTTTCTGAAATATCAGTTTCAGAAATTAGTAAATTTAAGTCCATAATTTGGAATAATACCATTTACTTGATATTAAATTTTTAATTAAATTCTGTTTTTTCCAGTGGAATACCATTAGGTTTTTTTTTTATTTTTCGTTCTGGTATCCTTTCAATGATTTTTTTTATTTCACCATCAGTATCGAAACACTCAATAACAATTTCTGTGTCAGTTAAAACTACTGGACTGTTCCATTTGCATTATAGATCCATTATCAATAGAATCCAGCTTGTTGAATCATTCGTATCTGTCAGAGTATATGCAACAATAATTGAATTACTTAAATTTTGGTTCACATCAAGGGTGTTGTCTTCATGCTCTAAACTTGTGGTAATTTTTTGTGCTTCATCTATATCCGTTATCACGCCAGGAAGAGTTTCCATCATCATTGTATACTATAGAATTTTCATCAACCTCCATCACTTGTAATGCATTTTTTGTTGAAAAACTATCCACTTCCTGTAATAAAAAAATAACAATTTCCATGCAATGCGAAATTAATACTATTAGAATTTTTTATTACTTGTACTGTATTATTTATCTATTATTTACAAAATTAAAAAATGAAGAAAAATGATTTTTCAATTATTTATCAACAAAAAATATATCATTTTACGTACCTACCTGGATCTTCCTTCTTTATAAAAGTATTTATTAAAGTAATAAAAGGTTGCATTGGACAAAGTAATTTAATTGTTAATGGAAGTCCCAATTCTTTTCCATAACTATTAGTAATCTTAGAGTTACTAAGGCATTTTATCCTAACTTTTGAAGTCACGATTGAAATATCTTAGTAATTGATAGGTATAACTTATTGTTGTAGTAAAGATACCGCAATTTTTTATAGTAACTAGAAAGGTAGGCAAGAATGTTACTATAGTAATTTTATTATGAAAAAACAAATGAAATTGTTTAATAATATGATACTATTATTCTTCGATGTTATTATATCATCTTAGAGTCATAACTCATTTTTGACAAAAAAGTAAGTTACCACCTCTGTGCTTAGCACAGCAGCATATAGAATATTAGACATTTTGTGTAGCATATGATTTGTTAATATTTTTGACTTTATACTCTCATATTTTATTTAATAGACGTAGTACAAAGAAGTATGTATTTTAATTTTAAAATTTCATACACCTACTTTAATGTTACACATTGAATTTACAAAACAAAAGTATTTTTCTACACCTAGTTTTCAAGGTATGCATATGCTAAACAATTTTATTGGCAAATTCTATATGCATATCTTGCTTCTTTAAGATTTTTTTCAGTTTAAGTTGTGTACCTATTACATGATTATAATAAAAAAATAAATAAAGAGTTCTTAATTTTTGTATGGTTAGTACACAGTACATATTTATTCCTTCATCTTTTGAATATTGAAAAATTTGTATCAGTTTTTTATGTAACAGACAGGAAGAAAATATTGATTTTGATACTTTTTCATCCATGGCTTTATGTATAAGAAGGTTGTACACTGCCTTCATAAATCCCTGAATCCCACATGACCGTGACTATTAGGCAAGCAGATCTACGATGGATGCAATGATTAACAAAGTTCCCTAAAGTCAGAGCACAGACAATAAAGCTTATCGCCACAGACTGCGTGTTAAATGCTGCAAATTGGCAACCCAAAAAGGATGCAGGCTTTTTTGTCGGCCGGCATCCAGCTATAAAATTTAGCGTGGTAACTCTTCTACTAGGTATTAGGCGGCAGTTCTTGAGGTGGCTTTCTTGCCAAATAATAACTCAAATAAATTTAATGCATTCAATTATGTAATTAAAGAGATATGGAACTTATCTTTTGTTTGGAAATCACATTGTGATAAACGCTAAAGAAAATAAATCAGGTTAGAATTAAAATATGAATTTACCTAATTAATTATTTATTTTGTATTACTTTGGATGGGAGAATTCAAAAACTTGAAATTAATGTTTTAAGATTTGTGCGTCTACTTCCAATTTGGTATGATATTAACATCTATGTTGTTTAAAAAAATTGCATTATACAGGTTGATTTCTTTAGATAGGTAAAATAATTATTGACACAAGTGTTGCATATCATGGATGCCATTGGTAGTGCTCCTATTTGTGACACAAGGTGTTAAAAAAAAATTAACTCAATGTAAAATTGCTGGAACCTCAAGGAGTAGTTGAATATGAAATTTATTTAAAAAAAAAACAAATCGTCAATCATTGATCCCTTACAGAGATAAGATAATGCGTTTACTACTGCTGTTGCAATATTTAACTAACTTTTTTGTTTTTTGACATACGGACTTCGGACCTTTTCCATTTAACAGAGATCGGACAATCAGAACCAGGGGTGGTGGGAAGATTTTTTAATTATATTTTCAATTTGTGGCGTGTGCGGATATTTAGTGGACTGTATTTAGGGTTAGAGTAGATGGAAAATGCACACTTACATATGTCGCTGCGGTCTTCTTTCTGGTGTTGGTTCTGGATATTTAACGCTATTTGCCGGCCGGCACACTGGTCACTTAACAATTTTGAGTATCTATCTTCGAACATACATAGACACTTGGAAAACACTCTTGAGAGTCTTTAGAGAGTTTTTTCTTAACTTGATAATTTTCAACTGTAACTGTCCCTTTCTATGACAAATGGGAATTGAGGAAAAGGAAAAGGTAATTGTGTGTTGCATATATTTAAAACCGAGTTTGAGTTGACTAAAGACGGAACACAATTCAACGCACCGTTTCCGAGTTATAAGACCTTTTTTACTGTATCACCTCACACACCTCTTTTTGCCAAAATTTATTTTCCACATAAGGACTTCGAACCTTTTGCATTCAACGCTGAAGGGACAATCAGGACCAGGGGTGTCGGGAGATTTTTTCATTTATTTTTTTGTTTCAACACACCCTTTCCGAGTTATATACACTTTTTTATTCTATATGTCGCACACCGTTGATCCCATTTTTTTTTTTTAGACATGCGGACTTCGGACGTTTTTCACTCGATCACCAATCAGAACCATGGGAGATTTTTTGATATTTCGAGTATTTCCGAGGTACAAGCAAATACTGTTTTTTTTCTTTCATATATTGTGACACCCCACTATGCCTCGCCTCACCCACCCAGTGCTTTACTCAGAACCAAGCGGAGATTTGTTTATACAGGGTGTTAAAAAAAGAGTGTAAAATATTTCAGGAGGTAATAGTATGAACCAAAATAAGCAGAAAAGTCTTAATAAACATGGGTCCGCAAAGTAACGGTTGCGGAGATATGGACCACTATTCGTTTTTCAAACATTTTATTTTATTAGGAATAAACCGACAAAGGAAGCTTTTAACAAACAAAAAACAAAGTTACAGAAGATGTTCAAAGTGCCCTCCGTCCATTTCCAAGCAGGCACGACATCTTCGTCTCAACGATATTCGAACTCTTTCGAAAACACCCTCCTTGGTTTGGATTTCTTGACACTTTTGATTAATCCGTAGCTGCAGCTCTTCCAGGCTATTTACAGGAGTACCATACACTAATGTCTTCAAATATCCCCAAACAAAGAAATCTAGAGGGTTCAGATCAGGCGATCTTGGAGGCCATAAAACAGGTCCGGCCCTTCCTACCCATCTATGTGGAAAAGTTTGGTGTAAATGCTCTCTAACGGCCATGGAAAAATGAGCTGGAGCACCATCATGCTGGAACCACATTTGTTGCCTCTGATTCAAAGGAATGTCTTCCAAAAACTCATACAGTGTGTTCTGCAGAAAGTTGAGGTAAGCAGCGCCTGTTAATCGGTTTGGTAAAACAACAGGACCTAGAAACCTGTCACCTACAATACCCATCCAAATGTTTAATGAAAAACGTGCCTGATGTCCAGATTCTATTAGAGCATGAGGATTTTCGTCGGCCCAAATATGCGTATTGTGAAAATTAAACACTCCATTTCTTGTGAACCCGGCCTCATCAGTAAAAAGAATGTTTGCAAGAAAACGAGGGTCTTCAGCATCATGACGTAGAAACCAGCGGCAAAAAACCAAACGTGCTTGATGATCATTTATTGGATTTAAGGCCTGTACTCGTTGCACATGGTATGGATAAAGCAGTTGCTCGTGAAGGATTCTCCAAACAAGAGGACCACTAATTCCTACCTCGGCTGATATTCTCCGCACACTCGTACCTGGATTCTGCTCTACCAGTGCTAGAATTTCTTCTTCTGCTCTAGGAGTGGATACCGACCTTGGTCTTCCGGATAAATGGCACTGTTTGCTCAAGGAACCGGTATCACGCAATCTTTGGTGAATTCTTCCAAACATGCGTTGTGAAGGAATCTGGCGATTTGGATAAGCGTCAACATAAAGACGTCGCGCTTCGGTGGCGTTCCCATTAGCACGACCATACATGAAATGCATGTCTGTTAATTCTGCGTTAGAGTAACCAGCCATAGCGAAAGAAAACTTGTGCACTGAGAACAACTGTCAAATACGTACTGTTTATTTCACTAAACATCAACCAACTATTATAAGAAAATACACAACGTTTTTGCAAAATAAAAAAAGGGGCTGAAAAACATAAAACATTCCATATCTCCGCAACCGTTACTTTGCGGACCCATGTTTATTGAGACTTTTCTGTTTATGTTGGTTCATAATATTACCTCCTTAAATATTTTACACTCTTTTTTTAACACCCTGTATTTCCAGCCATTTTCGAGTTACGAGCAAAAATCGTTTTTTTTCTCATGTTGTGACGTCATAGCTCGATGACGAAGGCTAAAAAGGCCACGCGCTCTACCACACACTCCCACCCTAGCTGTCATGAAGATGCTGGGGAAGCCCCAAACAGTTCTTAAGACAGCAGAGAGAGACAGAGAGAGAAAAGTCCCACAGACCACCCAGGTGGTCTGTGGAAAAGTTCTCAATGAAGATAAAGGTGGTCTGTGGGACAAAGTCACTCTATCTCTATCGCACAGTCGCACACTATAACTGTATCTCCCTCGCACACAATCAGACAAAAACGACAGAAACGAACCTTTCTTTAAAAATACATGGGATTTATCATTATCAGAATAACCCATTTTAATTTAAAAAATTAAAATGGGTTCTGATGACGAAAAATAAAACATTATTAAACTGTATTATTCAAATAACAATACGCGCCATTATTCTATGGCTAGAAATTGGCCTCAATGATTTGGGATCGAGGGGGATTATCCCTCTTTATCCTGCCTCATCTCGTGTAGGCCTGGACAGCCTTCGTAGGTGGGCCCCATCCGTCGTCTACCCCGACCGCAAATGCGGCCGGTGTAGGCGCTTTGTGGGACCTCCTTTTGTCCTGGCTGGGCCCCGCCGGCTAGGGCCCTTTCTTCTGGCGCTCTTCTTGCTTCGCCGGCTCGTCTGTGTAAACCCCGGGGGTAGTGTCATGTTTATG